TCTTACATGTAGCTGTCCAGTTTGGCCAGCACCATCTGTTGAAGAGACTGTCATTTCCCCATTGTATGTCCATGGCTCCTTTATCATATATTAATTGACCATATATGTTTGGGTTAATGTCTGGAGTCTCTATTCTTTTCCACTGGTCTGTGGCTCTGTTCTTGTTACACTTGTTTTTTAAATGTGGGAAAGTAAATTCCTCTTTTTTAAACTTCGTAATGGAAAGCAAACTAGGCAATAGAGTAATGGACATTTCAACCATAAATCTGTTCATTTTGAAGTAGACTAAAATATATAATTAAAATTTTCTGGAGTTAAATTTAACTTTGTTAAAAATCGAACAGCAAAATACTAAGCTCTGACTTTGGAACACAGCTGAACCATTTGGCAAAATCATGTTAACTTGATCATACCTGGGCTATGTAATACTTCAGTTTATTTTCTGGTGCCAGGAGACTGAAAGAACATTTAAGTTCTTTTTTACATTCAAATGCTCCTTCTAGGTCGATCCTCCAAGTCCCAGAACTGATGCTTTATTTGGATCTTCTGGCAGAGACTGTGAAAGAGATGGATGGTCTAGGATGCACAATGGTAAGCTACAAGTAATCTCTCTTATTTGCTTTAGTTGCCTTGACTACAGTCAAGCCTTTAACTTGGCATCAATTAGCAAAAACAGAATCTTAGCTGTATTATTGGATAATATGGGATAGTGCTAGTTTTTACAACTTGTGGGACACAGTATAGGTACTCTTTAAAAATTATAGAAGTTTTGTGCTGCTATCAACTATCTCCCTCTTTGAGATTCAAAATACATTTTAGTATATTCAAGACTAGTGCCTTCTAGTAAAAAAAAAAACAACTTGATTTTGTTTTATGCAACAATTTCTAAATTTCTTTGACAATTGAATCCTTTTTTCACCTTAACATTTATTACTTAGTTTGTGTAACAGGCTCTGAGAAATATCATAGTAAAAAGTTCAAGGTTATGGGTTTTGGATATAAATGTACATACATATTTGAATACTTGCTCTGCCACTTACTATAAACCACGCATTCTTGAACAAATCTTTTTAACTAATTTGACAGTCAGTTTATTTTAAATAATGAAGAAAACATGGTAAATGTTCCATGTAAAATGTCCTGGGACTCAGGACTTAATAAATAGCAGCTGTCATTATAATACTTATTATTTATATTTCTGAAAAGGTAATTCTTTAGCATTAGTTTTTGAAGAATATATTTTTTTCATCTTTAGCCCTGTCCTAATGGATAAATAAGTTGTTTAAGTTCAACATGAAGATAATTTTTATGAAAAGATTAACTAGTATTATATCATAGAGGTATTTGAGTGTTGTTATCTATAGACAGACTTTGGCTAGTCAGTCCAGCTTGCATTTACTAGTAGCCTTTAAGTTAATTTACTGCACACTGAGAAAGGCATAGAAGGAAGAAAAATGAGATAGTGAAAAAAATGTAACATAGTGAGCTCTGTCTCTTTCTAAACTGTAGTCTCTTTTTTTAAATAATGAAATGAAACATTCTTCCCTGAGAACATGCAGAGTTTGTGCTCATTTATATTGCTTCCTTAGCATTAACAGCAGATAGATGTGGTAATCAATAAGTATTTTATTACCAGATTATGTGAAATTAGGAGCAGATGTTATGCTCTGTTTCCTCTCTTGGAAGAAATTTATGGACATGGAAAATAAGCTTTAAGAACAAGAAAATTGAAAGTAACTGCAATATAGATGTTTCTTTGGAAGATGGTTTTGCAATGTACTTAAGTGTCTAATTTTTCTTGACAACTATTATATATTTGCCAGCAGAACTGTTGAGAGTTTCCAATAACTTTTAATCAAAGCAGTCAGCTGCTTATGTAGAGGTACAATCAGATTAATAATGAGGTGCTTGTTTTTCTTTCAACTTTTAATTTTGATACAATTTCAAACTTACAGAAAAGTTAAAATAGTACAAAGAATTCCCATATACTTTTCAGAATCCACAAATATTAATATTTGCTTTTCCCTCTTTCTCTCTCTCTTTATCTCTTTCCTTTCCCTGCCTCCATGTCAGTATGTGTGTCTGTGTATAAACTTTTTGACAATGACATTGTTATGGACTGAATGGTGTCCCTCCAAAATTCATATGTTGAGAGTCTAACCCACAGTGATGATATTTGGAGGTGGAGCCTATGGGAGGTAATTAAGTTTAGATGAAGTTTTGAGGATGGACCTCATAATTGAATTAGTGCTCCTTATAAAACAGGACACCAGAGATCTTGCTTTCTCTTGACCATGTGAGGATCCAGCCAGCCAAAACAAGAGCCTTGCCAAAACCTGACTGTGCTGGCACCTATATCTTGGACTTTCAGCCTCCAGAACTGTGAAAAATAAATATCTGTTGTTAAGCCCCCCCAGTCTATTTTGTTATAGCAGCCTGAGGAGACTAACAGATATTATGTTATGTGATGCAATTATGAAAAGCAGTAAATTAACAATGACGTAATAAGAATTACTCATCTATAAGCCTAAATCAGACAACACTTGTCTTAATATTATCTTTATAGCAAAAGAAATCTCACATTGTGCATAGCCTTCAATTGCCATGTCTCTAGTTTTCTTACATATGGATCAGTTCCTTAGCCTTTCTTCGTGTTTGGCATTGATAATGTTGAAGAGTACTGGCCCGTTATTTTGTAGAACATCCCTCAATTTCAGTTTTTAGTTTTTAGTTTTTCTTGATGGTTATATGTAGATTATTCATTTTTCCCCAGAATATAGCAGAAGTGATGTTACTTTCAGTGCCTCCTGTCCGTAGGTACATGATGTTGTTTTGTTACCTGAAGTGGTAATTTGTTCACCTGATTAAGATGGTGTCTGCTAGGTTTATCCATCATAAGAGAGCTATATCTTCCCTTTGTAATTATGGGGAGATACTTTGAGACTATGTAATATCATGTTACTCCTCAACTTTGCCTCCTTTAGCAGATAGGCAAGTATTGATGATTCTTGCCCGAAACAATTTATTACTGTGATATTTGACAAATAGTGATTTTTAAAAGTTCCATTTTTATTTGTATGCTTATTACTTGCCTTTCTGTTTTCCCCTTCTCATTTCTCCAGTTTTAATGCCCCTGTTCTTTTGACTACTTTTATTTCCCTGGCAATTGAGCAGTTGGGTTTTGGCTTCTCATCAGCTATTTAAATACATTTTTGAACAGAATTTTTTATGACAGTGTCTCTTAAACATAGTGAATTTTCTCTTGTGACTGTCTTTAATGGGAATCCTTGAACATTATCTTCCCAACTATCTTGCCTAGTGATTCTTAAGTTCTTATGGGATAGTCTTTTCATACCACCATTGATTATTTCAGCCCTCATAAAAATCATGAATCATGTGAAGATGGATTCAACTATATTTGATCAAGAAAAATGATAGAGGTTTACAGAGGTTAAGTGACTTACTGGAGACCTACAAAATACCCATAATCAGTTCAAAATCCAGGTCTTCCAACCCAAGTTCCTTTCTTTTTCACCCTTCTCGTACTATTTCTCTACTTTCATTCAGGTGTGTATTTTAATATAAAATTTTCTAGTACATTTTCTCCTTCTGGAACTTCCATGGTATATGTAATTGTAATTCATGCAATTTCTTTTTGAAGAAACTCATTTTTGTACTCCAAGAAGGTTTGGAAGCTTTATCCAATCATTTTTGTATTTTGAAAAGGAAATCAAAGGCATCATCCTGGCCCCTGTTTTATTTACTTAGAATTTAGGAGAGATGTTAGACTCTGTCTCCCCCTTGGAGAAAAGGAAGAAACTTCTCTTATTCTCTTCATCTGAAGATTCTTTAAGGAGTTTCCTTTCCATATAAGACTGTAATCTTTTATGAGCTTCCACTAATCTCTTTGATGTTGTTTATAAAGTAAATAAATTGGAAATAACATTCCAAATCCTAAGATGTCATATCTTGGGAGGATAGCAATAAATGGTAATGTTTTAATGTTTTCTGAATAAAATAGCATGTAACCATCATGTATATACTTATTAGCAAATATTCTCTATTTCAGCTTTCATCTAGATGTGTGCCACATCTTAGAACTGTAGTCAGTCTAACAGTGTCATTTTTTAGTAACTCCTTTTTTAGTTTATTAAACATTTTAACACTTTTATTAAGGTGTGATTTGTATGCCATAAAACTCATGTTTTAAGTGTACGATTAAATGATTTTTAATAAATTTGTACAGTTGTGAAATTATCACAATACACTTTTAGAATATTTCCATCATCCAAAAGAGTTTCCTTGTACCCATTTGCAGTAAATTTGTATTCCCACCCTGAGTTTTCCTGGATTGTTTACACTTTTTGGCTATTGTAAATAATGTTACTGTCAACAGTTGCACTGAAGTCTTTGCACAGATATATGTTTTCTTTTCTTTTGGAAACCTTGGAATGGAATTGCTGGTTCATATGATAAATTTATGTTTAACTTTTTAAGAAATTGCCAACTGCTTTCCAGTATGGCTGAACCAATTTTTATTCCCACCGTGTATGATGGTCCAATTTCTCCACATCATTGACACTTCTTTTTTTTTTTTAATTATGACCATTCTGGTAGATATGCATTCTTATCTCATTGTGATTTTAGGTTGTATTTGACTAATAACAATGATATTTTTTCATGTGCTTATTAGCCATTTCTTTATCTTTTTTGATGATCACTCTTCTTATAGTCACTGGTAAGCAAGGAACTTGCTGTTTACTAAACTTCAGAGAAGAAGAAAAAAAGTAAGGAGGAAATTCTGAGACTTCTGCTATTGAGACTTTGATAGAAATAAGAAAGATAGGAATACTAGAGGTTGGAACAATATTTGATGAATGCATCACAACTGAGCAATATGAAAAATGTTCTTATGCACCTTTCCTTTTTTAGAAGGTTGTATGCCCTGAGCAGGAATAAACCCTGATTTCATTTTATAAAGTTGGACATCTTAGCTTTGCTTCCATTAGAGGGATTAATATATGACAAATGGATTGGCTTTATGCTCCATGAAGATTCACAGGGGAGCAGAGGCCAACCTGAGAATGTTATATGGGCATTGAGGTAGCCAGTAGAGTAGGTGCTGATAATGACTCTGATGTCATGCTTTTTGAAGGTTCTGTAAGTACACACATTCACCATCAGGGAGGTTCTACAATGATAGTAGCACTAAAACTACCAGACAGGGTTCAATTACTTGAGTATGAAAAAGAAAGATGATAATACCTTCATAGTACAATACTGTGGAGGTTGCCAAGATGTGGATGAACTCAGGGACTACATATTGGCTAGACTTGTCAGAAATACTTGTCAGAATGGGGCTCGAGAATTGCTTGGATAGAAAGAATGAGTAGATACAGAGAGGCTAAATTTTAGATTTCAGATCCTTAAGTCCTTCTTGCTTAAAGTCATGATTGGGCCTTTAGGGCTGGCGCGTATCTGAACCTGTTGGGTGAGAGTCAACTATGTAGAGAGGAAGGATTCAGAGGCTGTTATCACTCTACTACCAGTGTGAGTGGTGACTTTAGTACGAAGTGGATCTTAGTTTCTATATTAGGTGGTTGCTAAGGAAATATTTTGAAGACTAATGGCCACATTTTGTTTTTAACCAGTACTGTTAGTCACTACTTGATATTTGACTAATTCAATTATATATCACATCCATTTAATTAACAAATCCATAACCAGATGTTATGTTTGAGACTGAAGGCACTTTTATTCTCCTGCATGAACTAAGCAAAGATCTCAGCTCCATTACTCATTATCTATATACAAAGACAGGCTCCTGAAATGTAAAGTATAAATAATAACCAGTCTTATGTATGCCATTAGTCTGCTCAGGATGCCATACATAATGCCATAGACTGGGGGTCTTTAGCAACATACATGTATTTTCTCAAAGTTCTGGAGATGAGGAAGCCCAAGATCAAGCTGAGAAGGTAGGTTTCATTCTGAGATTTCTTCTCTTGGCTTAATAGGCGGCTGCCATCTCACTGTATGCTCACACGACCTCTTTGTGTGTGCATGGAGAGATTTGAGAAAGGAGAATACAAACTAGTGCAGCCTCTAACACTTCTCCTATTAGAAGAGCATGCTTTCCATCATGAGGGCCCCAGCACCCCCATGACATCATCTAACCCAATTACCCAAAAGTCCTGTCTCCAAGTATGATCACTTTGAGTGTTAGGGCTTCAAACATTTAGCCCTGTTTCATGAGGTTACTGGAGAGTCAGATAATAGCTAACAATTATTGAATGCATTTTCTGCTAGTTTCTATTCTAGGAGCTGATATTCCATAGGTTAATTACTCACAAGAAACTAAAGAATTTTAGATACTATTTTTATACCCATTTAACAGATGAAGAAACCTGAGGTTTAAAGAGGTAAATTGGTAAAGATCTACACAATCTGATTCAGCTCTTTCCGTTTTTATAGACTTTTCGTAAGTGTGACCCATTAAGGCACAACTCAACTTTCTCCTCCTTTAGGAAGTTTTTTCTAAGTGCCTTCAACCTTGGGAGATTGATCTCTGATACAACTTTTTATAACCTTAATTGCCTGTACCATTCTGACTTTGTCTGTTCTTTTATGCTGCTGTTATTCAACTTGGTATAACTTAACCAAAATAAATTATAAGCAGTTGGCCACAGGCTATGGCTTTTATCTCCTTTATCTTCTGCATTTAGAATATAGTTGATGAGTAATTATTGGTAAGGGTGATTAAATTGGAACACTGGGAACCTCAGATCAAAATAACAGCTTCATTTAAAAAAATGGAAAAAAATTATAAATCTTTCTGAATTAGGGCAAATTTACAAATGGTGTGGAAGGCAGAAGACATAGCAGTGTTTTAATATATTGATACTTTGAATATTACATTAACTGACAGAAAGAATATATACCTTAATCTTCAAAGTTAGCATGTTTGGAGAATTAGGCTCAGTATGTCCTTATCATTCTTTTACTTATTCTGCTACTTGTGGCATGCTGGAATTTATTTATTTTTAATTTTGTAAAGCACTTAAGTAAGTTGAATCTTACCAATTAAGTGGCAAAGTTGGCTTTGTGTGAAAGACATTAATGTTTCAGTTATCCTCTGTAATGTTCAGGACACCTGGAAAACAAATATCTTGTGCCATAAAAAGAAGCTAATTAATTAACCTCATATAGACCATCCAAGATATTTATCGTAGTCATTTTTTGGGGGACAAAGTGATTGGAGAAGATGTAATATAGAGTGTTAGAATGCTTTTGACTAGCACGTGTAAGGAAGTAGATTTTCAAATTATGGTTCTGATTTGCTCGACTGTCGATATAGCAGAGATTTAATACTTCAATTAATTCTTGAAAGTTGACTTCTTTAAGTAATGAGTAGAACCCAAAATCTGAATCTACAATGTAGTGGTCCTTGTTTTAGGAAAGGATTGAGAATAGGGTTATAATCCACTTTGTTACAGGTACTGTGCTAGGGACTTTAATAAACTATAATTTAATCATTACTACAACTCTGTGAGGTAAAGTATTGTCTTCATAATCTTGAAATGAGGAATGAAATACAGATTAATGATATACCTTGACCAAAGTAATATATTTGATGTGGTACAATCAGGAATTAAACCTAGGCTTGTTTGATTAGAATTCAGGTAATTATGTTGAAAATTACTGATTTGAATAGATATGTGCACTTCTATGTTTATACAACATTGTTTACAATAACTAAGTTATAGAAGCAACCTAAATGTCCATCAATAATTGAATGGATAAAGAAGAAGAAGATGTGGTATATGTATATACAATGGGATATTACTCAGCCATAAAAAAGAATGAAATCTTGCCATTTGTAACAACATGGATGGACCTAGAGGGTATTATGTTAAGTTAAGTAAGTCAGACAGGGAAAAGCAAATACTATATGATTTCACCTATGTGTGGAATCTAACAAAACAAATTAATTAACAAAGTATAGACTCATAAACAGAGAACAGACTGGGGTTGCCATAGGGGAGAAAGATGGGGGGATGGGCATAATAGGTGGAGGGGACAAAAAAGTATAAACTTCCAATTTTGAAATAAATCAGTCATGGGGATGAAAGTATAGCAACAGGAATATAGTCACTAATATTGTAATATCTTTGTATGTTGACAGATGGTAACTATGCTTATTGTGGTGAGCACTCAGTAATGTATATAATTGTTGAATCACTGTCGTATACCGGCAATCAATATAATATTTTATACAAAAATAATAATGATGTTGATAGTGTGTTAGTTACTAATAGTTGATATTTATTTTATTGTCTTACATATAATTTCTCATATAATCTTTAAAACAAGGTATGAAAGAGGTGAATCAGACAGATGAGGAATCTGAGACTTACCAGGTTAAGTAATGTGCCCAAGGCCATACAGGAGGCGCTGGGGCTTGGACTTTAATGCAGATTTATTTGTCAACAAGGTCTGTACACTAAAGCATGCTACTACCTTCTAAAACTAGTCATTTCATTACACTCACTCGATTCTAGCGTGGACTCTAAGAATAGGAACACATGTAGTTTGACAATATCAATCAAATCTTTATATTCAGGTTATATTTCATCGTAAACTGGTTTATCAACTAAAAATTATCCATTTCATGTAGACAAATTGGTTAATCAAATAAAAATTATTCTGGCCTATATTCAGATGTCTCCTACTCTAATGAAAATGGTGCTTGTGCAATCAATTAATTACCTGAAAAACTGATAGAGATTTTAATTTGTTGCTTTTATGATCTTTGCTTATGTACCATTGGTAGAGGTTAATATATTTTTGAAAACTGCTATATGAATTATAATCATAGAAACAATGTGATAGTAGCCAGAGTCAAAGATGAAACCAATTTTCTCCTTTTTAGATATAAAATATTTATAGTTTAATTCTTTTGTACATCCTTTTTCAGATCATTCTCATCTTGGCTGCTACCAACTGAAGGATTATAAGGTGTGTTATATACATTACAGAATAATTGTCCTGGCTTTCAGATGAAAGCATATATCTTATATGTATGGTCAGAGATTATCATATTCATTTAGTCAAGAAAATGCACAAACAATAATTGTCATATCATGGAATGTCATTATTCTGACTACATTGTCAAATGGTAGAATAGGCTGTTCATTGAATGTCTTCCTACAAGAATTTTGTAGCCTTTGGTTGTTCTTTGGATTAATTACTTCTTGAATGTGTTTGTGTATATGTATGTGAGAAACAGACAGAGAGATTGGTTGTTATTTTTAGAAAATGCCTCACACTAAATGTCCATCAATAATTGAATGGATAAAGAAGAAGAAGATGTGGTATATGTATATACAATGGGATATTACTCAGCCATAAAAAAGAATGAAATCTTGCCATTTGTAACAACATGGATGGACCTAGAGGGTATTATGTTAAGTTAAGTAAGTCAGACAGGGAAAAGCAAATACTATATGATTTCACCTATGTGTGGAATCTAACAAAACAAATTAATTAACAAAGTATAGACTCATAAACAGAGAACAGACTGGGGTTGCCATAGGGGAGAAAGATGGGGGGATGGGCATAATAGGTGGAGGGGACAAAAAAGTATAAACTTCCAATTTTGAAATAAATCAGTCATGGGGATGAAAGTATAGCAACAGGAATATAGTCACTAATATTGTAATATCTTTGTATGTTGACAGATGGTAACTATGCTTATTGTGGTGAGCACTCAGTAATGTATATAATTGTTGAATCACTGTCGTATACCGGCAATCAATATAATATTTTATACAAAAATAATAATGATGTTGATAGTGTGTTAGTTACTAATAGTTGATATTTATTTTATTGTCTTACATATAATTTCTCATATAATCTTTAAAACAAGGTATGAAAGAGGTGAATCAGACAGATGAGGAATCTGAGACTTACCAGGTTAAGTAATGTGCCCAAGGCCATACAGGAGGCGCTGGGGCTTGGACTTTAATGCAGATTTATTTGTCAACAAGGTCTGTACACTAAAGCATGCTACTACCTTCTAAAACTAGTCATTTCATTACACTCACTCGATTCTAGCGTGGACTCTAAGAATAGGAACACATGTAGTTTGACAATATCAATCAAATCTTTATATTCAGGTTATATTTCATCGTAAACTGGTTTATCAACTAAAAATTATCCATTTCATGTAGACAAATTGGTTAATCAAATAAAAATTATTCTGGCCTATATTCAGATGTCTCCTACTCTAATGAAAATGGTGCTTGTGCAATCAATTAATTACCTGAAAAACTGATAGAGATTTTAATTTGTTGCTTTTATGATCTTTGCTTATGTACCATTGGTAGAGGTTAATATATTTTTGAAAACTGCTATATGAATTATAATCATAGAAACAATGTGATAGTAGCCAGAGTCAAAGATGAAACCAATTTTCTCCTTTTTAGATATAAAATATTTATAGTTTAATTCTTTTGTACATCCTTTTTCAGATCATTCTCATCTTGGCTGCTACCAACTGAAGGATTATAAGGTGTGTTATATACATTACAGAATAATTGTCCTGGCTTTCAGATGAAAGCATATATCTTATATGTATGGTCAGAGATTATCATATTCATTTAGTCAAGAAAATGCACAAACAATAATTGTCATATCATGGAATGTCATTATTCTGACTACATTGTCAAATGATAGAATAGGCTGTTCATTGAATGTCTTCCTACAAGAATTTTGTAGCCTTTGGTTGTTCTTTGGATTAATTACTTCTTGAATGTGTTTGTGTATATGTATGTGAGAAACAGACAGAGAGATTGGTTGTTATTTTTAGAAAATGCCTCACACAAGTACATTTCTAAACTTTAGTCATTCACAGAGCATCCTCATAATTTTTGCAACATCTGCATGTAATTATGCCCTTTTCTTTAATCCACCTTCTTTTTATTTCTCTTATCACTATAAATGAAAAATCTGTATCTCATACTTTAAATGAATGATAGCTTTAAAAGATACAGCATAAACAAAACAATGTTACTAAATTCCAGCTAGATAACTGCTGTTTTTCAAAGGCTATGAGGAATGTTCTCTAGTTCTTAAAATGAGATAAACAGTGATAGGTATAGGAGACATACCAATAGCTAACTGAAGATTTCAGACTGAAAGAGAATTGAAAAGAAAATGCATTTTTCCCTTTATAATTCAGTGTTATGTAGTATATGTCCATGTGCCATATAAAATAATCTTGTGTATCTTCTAAAATCATTTTGGATATCATACTGTCTTCCATGCCACTAGTAGTTCATGTTCTGCATTTTGAGAAGTACTGCCTCAGAATTTATCTTTTCTGTCCCTAAGTGAAAGCTTCTTGATAAGAAGTGTCACTACCTTTGTGAAAACAAAATAAATCAAAAAACAGCTTTCCTTATGATATCTTTGCATATTTACTTGAAAACAATTTATTTTGTGCTTTCTGGCACTGAGTAGCATAGCTTCTTCTCTGCCATGTTTTGTGATAAAAGAAATATGGAACAGCTGAGGAACGAGTCCAGGCCCTATATGACTAAGGATCCAAATCTACCAGAGTGCCAGAGTCACATAGGTGGAACTTTATCAAAGTACATTCTAGGCCTGTGAATTGTTAAGAATAGATTCTGGAAATTTTTAACAAGTTTTCAGGTAACTCCTGTGAAGCTCTCTTACCATCTACCCAAGGATTGACATTCAAGAACCACTGTTATAGACTATGAATATAACACACTGATAGAACTGTCCCTTCGGTAGTGTTCATATAGGACTGTGCCCTTGTTTAAGGCTGCCCCTAGAAGAGTGTGGGCCTGGCATAATTCACCAGGTGCAGACCCATCCTATTATGTGGAATTTATTCAAACACACACACACACATGTACATGCACATAATGCATGGAATATATATATATTTATGCATACACATACATGCACATGCACACACACATGTCAAAAAACATAAATTTCTGTGTCCTGCATGGAGTTCAGGGAAGCCAACTCAGCTGCTTAACCTAAGGGAAAAGCCTATCTTTGTATATTTCCTTCAAGTTATGCTTTACAATTTATCATAAATTGATTTTCATCTTTAAAATCTGCTTGTCTTTCTAATCCAAGAGTTTTAGGATGGCAAGGACCTTATTGGTCTTGCTTATTGATAATGGCTAATACCTAGCATAGTGTCTGATATATGGTGTGATTCCTATGTGTATTGTGTGAGTGTATTATGAAGAAAAAATAACTAATACAAATATATAAAAATAGAGTGGAGAGAAAGGGATAAAATGTATAGAATAACTTTATCCTAAAGGTACTATATTCCAACTCTATGTTAGCAGGTCCATCTTAAGATAGGCAAAATAGGTGAAGGGGATAAAGAGTTACAAACTTCCAATTATAAAATAAATAACTTACAAGAAGGGAAAGAACAGCATAGGGAATATAGTCAATAGTCTTGTAATAACTTTCTATGGAGACAGATGGTAACTGTACTTACTGTGGTGAGCATTTTGTCATATATATAATTGTCAAATCACTGTGTTGCACACCTGAATTAATATATTGTGAATCAACCAAACATTAGTAAAAAGACACTTAAAAATAAATTTAAAAAAAGATAAGTATATATATTAAGAATCCTCTTTTCCAAATGAATTCTTTGAAAGCACTGCACTTCCATCTTTAATTCCCTCCCACTCTCACCTCTGGATTCTTCACTTTAAGGGTTAGAGTAGAAGTCAATCATTCATACTACCCTTGTAAGGCAGTGGGTGGTAAGTGAATTCACAGGATTATTTTTTCTATTCAAGAAATAGATTTTCATAGACATACATTTTCAGCACTGAACACTGCTGTATTTTCTTTTCAATTGAAAGAATAAAAGATTTCCTTATAAGCTCATAGTAACTAGTTAGTAAATATTCAGGGAGTGGAACACTACAGAATTTCTACATGGGAAAAAGTCATAAAGCTGGGAATATTGCAAAAATTTTTTAGAAAAGCAAGACTTTGCCTGAATTCTTTTGAGAAATACATTTGCATAGGCAAGAGAAGAAGAGTGTCTTCAGAAGGAAAGCAACATGAAACAGTCTTGGGATCTAGAATAAGTACAGTGTCCTGGGACAAAAGAGGTCTGGCTTGAGTGGAGGGTATATACTGACTGATAAAGGGTTTTTAATATCCTTACTTAGTATTTTTCCTACTTTTCCATACCTCTTTTGTCTGCTGCCTCCATTTTTAAGATTTCTAGTTGTTTGGTCATTATCTGTTTTTTTGATCAAACTCAGCTCTTCATCTTGTTGTGCTTTATAGAATTAGCTGTTCTCATAAATACTCATATTATTTTAGTCTCATTTCTTTTCTGTTCCACCATTACTCCACCCTGAATCACTGGCCTCTTCTCTTCCATATATGTAGTTTCTTATATGTAATAGGCATCCATTTAATACATTGGTTCTCACCTGGGATCATATCTTCCTCAAGGTGTCATTTTAGACTTTTACAGGGACACTTGCTATTACAGTCACTTAGAGGAAGTGCTCTTGATATTCAATGAATAGAGATGCTAGATACTCTCCAAAGAGTGGGACGATTCCACACAATGAGGAATTCTCACATCCCACATGGCTTTCTGCTATCTCACTGATCCGAATGAAGGTAAAAAACATTCCTAATAATTAGAACCAGTCCAACTCTACATAAAACACAGAGTATTTTTATATTATTTTGAGATACACCATATATTATAGGAATACAAATATGGTATAAAGATTATACTTTGTTTTGTCAAAAATACATGGTGTGATATTACAGTGTGATGAAGTACATGGCTACTCATTTTTCCTGGTTTCCTTTTATGGAATGGCTTATGATCTTATATTTTAGAATTCTAAAACTTACTTATATCAGCAAGTGAAAGCATCCATTGTATTTTCTAGATTAGTCATACTTGAGCATTCATATATTGAGGTACATATTTTAAGTCATGTTCCTTTAATTTCTCTTTATATTATAGTTAGGATAATACATTGATTTTTTTTAAAGTATGTGTGTATGTAAGTTATATTTTCAATACATTTCATTTCAGGATATAGAAGAGGGCAATACAAAATAACGGTTTTTTAAAATGAAGGCCCCCTTAGTCAGAGATCAGTTTGGGCTACCATAGCTAATACCATAGACTGGGTGGCTTAAACAGAAGGAATTTATTTTCTTACACTTCTGGAGACTGGGAAGTACAAGCTCAGGATGCCAGCCAGTTTGGCTCCTGGCGAGAGCCCTCTTCCTGACTTGGAGACAGCTGCCTTTTCACTGTGTCCTCACAGGGCAGAGGGGGGAAGAGAGAGAGAGCATGCACACATGTGTACATCATGTGGGCTCCAATATCTCTCTTTTTTGTAAATTTTTTGTTTTTCAAGCAATTGTAAGAAAAAATATGGAGAATTCCAGTGTACCATTTGTACAGTTTCTTCTAATGGTGACTTAGTGTAAAACTGTAGTACAGCATCACAACCAGAACATTCACATCAATACAATCTACCCAATTTACTCAGATAACCCCAGTTTTACTTTTACTTGGACTGTGTGTGTGTGTGTGTGCATGTGTGTGGTTGATGTTTTCTTAATAAATACCAATTCTTCCAGATTAGGATCTCACCTATATGACCTCATTTAATCTAATTCCTTACTCCAAATGCAGTCACATTGGGACCGCAGGTTGAAAGATCACTGATGCCATGTGTAATCACTATGTGAATGAGTGTATGGATGTGTAGCTATTAGCAATAGAGTATTTCTGGAAAGATTTATGGAACCCATTTTATCTGGGCCTTTATAAATATATCCTTCCTAGCTTCAATTTGGCCTTCAGTATTGCCTGGTGATCACTTTGTTCTCTTGATTCAATAGCACAGCTCAACTTCTCTAAATTGAACTTCTCATTTTGTATATGTGTTTCATATTTTACTTTGCCAAGGAAAATGTTGGTCAACTGCTGGATGGAATTGTTCTCAGTTTCTTTGTATCTATTTCAATTTTTCTGTTAATCTTCACATTTTCATTTCTTTTATTTTGCCTTCTTAATAATGGTAACACCTTCTTGTCATTTTTTATTTCTTTATTGACTATATCTCTTTTGGCCACAAACATAATAAAATCAAGTTATATTTGTATGATGGTTTCTAATTTTAAAACTTTTTTATATTGATTATACACTGGATTATATGCAGCTCTATAAACTAAACAGGGATTTTTACTCCCACCTTAAGTGAGAGAAAATAGATTCTGCAAAGCTCTCTGAAAAAGAACATACCTCTCAATCACCTCCCTCTGTCTTTATCATCCCCTTTCTCCTTCCTTTCACTACTAAACATTCAAATGAACATTGCTTTGACTTCTTTATCCATTCTCCAAAAATATTTGGGGAGAATGAATTTTATGAGAACTTTCAAAATTGAAGAGTCCTTACACATCTTTAAAAGAGTTAGGAAGCCACCTTGGTGGAAGTGGAGAAGT